CTGTACTGTTGTAGTTTCCCTTGCCTTAATCTGGGTATTTTTTTTTTCAATTTAAACAAGAGCATTTAGCCACATGAAGCTTATGTTTTCTTTTGTTTAATGGGTTTTTAGTAGCAAAATCAATGCAATGTTATCAAATTTTTTTTTTTAAATATAATATATATTGCCTAAAAGAGTTTTTAAATGCAATGTAAACTAGATGGTGTTATTTGTGGGCTTAGGGTCACGTTTCTAGGCTGTCGCTGGAGGTTATATGTGATGAAGCTGTCAAAGTGTATAAACCAAAGTACTTAGCTGCAATAATTTATTATATAAACTAAATTAGAAGTCAGATAAAAGGCATCTTTTCAATGGGAAACCAAAGAATTTACTTGTACTTTTTAAAAAGAATAAAAAGGTTAAGTGATAAATACAGTATAAATGTCATGTTTCTGTTTTACCAAAATCTGTTATAAATAAAAATAAGAAAATGTTATTGCTTTGTCTAATTTCAATTAAAAATTTGTTTTATAATCAACATTTGGCCTACACCCATTGACAAAATAAAATTGTTTTGAAGATAAATACTTAATATCCAAGAATTAGTTAGAAATTTTTCTTTATTCTGGATATCCTATTCATGTGAGGACTTTGTTCTTCTTTGGGGTAACACACATTTGAATTACAAATACAAACCAAAATTAAATGGAAATAAAAATTAACTTTTAATTTCAAAATTAAATATATACTGAGTACTAGGCAAATTGAAGCATAACAAATTTCAATTGATTTTTTTTTTTTTGTTCCTTTCTCACACTTTTTACTTGTTTTGATAACTTCTTAACATGTTTCAATTAAACTCCACATAGCTGTACCCTGAAAAACCATTTATTGCTTAATACGTTTGATTCAACGCATGTCGAAATGCCTCTTGGATATTTTCATTTCTTCAATAAGTATTTTTCAAAGTAATCCTAAAAGAGTTTTGAAATATAACACCCTTGTCAACAGATTACACGTTTTGTTACCGGATGTTTTATTCCCTTTTATACTCAGTCTGTGCAAAGGAATGACCATGTAAACCCTGACTCAAACAAAATGCAGCATATTATTAAATCTAACCCTCTACGGGTGACATACTTTTGCAATTTGTTCGTTAACAATCATGCTTTTTTTAATTTTCAATTTTATATTTTTCCTCAAATTTCTATAGAAACTTTGCTGAATTTCTATTTACAAACTGGAATGAAATCTGATCTTTCTGCTTTCGCCCCATTTTAATTCTATGCTTTTTTTCGAAGGTTCTGGTAATATTTTTATGTTTTAAATTCTTGTTTTGTTTTTTTATTCATACTGCAGTTTACTTTCTTACCTTAATGTATAATTCAATTTCTGTTTACTTTGATTGTAGTAAAGACTATTTGATTTGATTTTCATATTGAAATAATAAGCAGTATTTTGGGGGGGGGGGTGGAGTCAAGTTGTTAACCTGTGGGTGGTGACCCTGCTTTGACTCTTTCAGTCAACTGATAACAGCAACTAGAATCCATCATTTGCGATTATTCATTAAAGGAAGCCACATTAACACCTGTGTAGCTCCTGGAATTATGGATTCGCACGAACAAATGAACAGACGAATTGCATGTGTCATATTACAAGTGTCAAAATAACATGTAATGACAAATTGCAATTCTTACAATTCAAAGTCAGAAACTTAGGTTAACCGTTAAATACATATTTATTGCAAATAAATACCAATGGAGCCATTTTCTACCATGTTTAGTCATTTCTAAAAATAAGAATAATTTAGGAAAATGTTTGTGATATTAAGTATATTACTGTAAACTGAGTGATGTCAATAACACTTTCATCAACATAGTTAACAAGATTTTAGGAATTTAACAAAGCGAAAGGGTTTTTATATATTTGAACATTCCCAGATTGCAGGTGTTTGTCTGTGGGCTAAGCCAACATATTGTCCTGTTGTCCCTCTAGGCCACTTAATATATTGTGTCCAAAATTAACTCAGAACTTAAAAACTACGAAATGAGAAAACCTAGGAATATAAACTCTAGATAAGCAAGACTGAAAGCTGTCTAGAATCATTTAGATATTATTTAATTTTAATCTCCAAACAATAATTTTCAATATTTAGGCAACTGAGTCATTGTGATGGTATTTCATTGTATATGCTTGATGTGTGACAAATTCATGGTAAGATACAGCATATTAATGCTTGAAGTACACAACAGCAGTTAATTATACATTATCATTTTCCCCAAAAATACAAGAGCTGCATAGAAATGTTCTCTTGGTCAATTGATGGACATTTAATCGTCAGTGTTTCATCATAGACCCTTAAATAGGCTGGTATTAAACATTTTTGTAATAATGCCTGTAAAGTGGTGTAAAAGTTTTAATTATTTACTTCATAATTTTGTTCATGATTATTGTTTTACATTTTCATGTAATTTTCACTTAAGATTTT